CAAAGTGAGTAATGTTTCTTTAAATAAATTAAATTATTAATTGTAATAGATATTTAAAAATTTCATCAGCTCTTATTTTAATATCATGTGTAAGTTCAACTTCAATTTCTTAATTTTAACTTATTTAAAAACTCAAATAAAATAGTATATTTAAGTAAATATCTTTTGAGAAATAAAATGTAGCTTTCAAAACTTGAATAATTTTCCACTTTGGATATGTATGTCAGATGTTTCTAAGCAGAACAAACTGTTCTTAAAATATCTGTATTATTTGTTACAAGATATACTTTAAATTAATTTAAATTGAAGTAATCACACACACGAACAACTGCTGTAAATCATCTGGCTATAATTATACATGATTTATGGCAGTTGTTGGTGTGTCATTGCAATGCATAGGGGATTTTAGTATAGATGTTTATATTGAAGTAATCGTCATCATATTGGCATTTTTTAATTTTACTTTGTGCAGAAACTAAATAATCACCAATGTGAATGGCTTTTATATTGTAATTCTAAATATTTAAAAATGTTCTGCTTATAAAGTAGAAAGTTTGTATGAAAGTATTATATTAATAAACAAACAATAATAATGATAAAAAGGCATTTATTTTTAATATTTATTTGTGAAATTGATAAGAAATTTTAAATTTTGTGAAACTAAAAAGTTTTCATATTTAAAAAATAATTGTAATGAAAAAATTATATGAATAAAATAAACATGTTTATGATAGTGATCTTTTTCATTTATTTTTGAATTGCTTTTTTTTAGGTCCTTTCTCCTCTTTCTTCCTCCTCTCTATTTTGGATCACTTCTATTGTTATTTTACTTTCTTCATGCTTTGTTTTATTGTTTCATTCCAATTTTATATTCATTATAGATTCCTTTCAACTATTTTCTGTTTTCCAAAGATCCTATTTTTCTACAATTCTATATATTTATCAATTTCTTTATATTTTTTCCATTTTTAATATAAAAAATATTTAATATTTAATTCATTTGCATTGTCTTCAAATGAAAAATTTTATGACTTAAATAAATAGAATAGAATAATTTATATTTACTAAACACATTTTGATCTTATAAAATACTGTACATGGATTTATAATAATTTAAAGTTGAGGTGATAATATCTAAAATAAATTTACTAATATGATAAATATTTATGACAGAAAAATTACATTTTATTTATTTAATTTTTTTTTTTATCAAACTGCTTAATATAGAATCACTGGACAGATAATTTTCTCAGTTTGACAGTTGATAAAACAACTTGTCATTATAGTTCAATCTTTGGCTGTCAATATAGATTATGACATACTCTCATATATATAAAATGATAAATTCCAAAATTTTTTATTATGAGAATAAATATATATTTCTAATTAATATTTAATTAGACATAAATTAATGGATTTTTTCTTTCTTCATTTTTTTATATTCTAAGTAATATATATATACTGTATATATATAATATGGTAATAAATAAGATATATATACAGGTATACCTCAACTTACGTCGTTTCGAGTTAAGTCGTTTGTTAATTTTCCATATACTTTTATGTATATGGAAAAATAAAAATCAAGTTTAAGTTATTTTATTCCACTTTATGTCTGTCCGCCGCAAATATTGAAGTTGTAGTATCACTAAAAAAGCGTTTAAAGCACATAAAATCATATTAAAATATATACATTTACAAGTATGTACTGTATTTACAGTACATGTATTCGTAAATTTAGATTACTTTTTTCTGTACTATATTAAAAACTAAAATTTATTTTTTTGTAAGCTTAAAATAGATCCTTATTAACCATATATTATTAAAAATGCATTAATAAATAAAATACAGAACCGGGAATGGTAATTTATGGTTTAGCCTAGTGACAAGTTGATTCGACTTATGTCGCCTCTCCTGGAACCAATTACAGATGTAAGGCGAGCTATACCTGTAAAAGCTTATTTTGTAAAAAATTAAAAAAATATTACTAACAATTTTTCATAATTTATAGAATATTTAAATTCAACAAAAATGTTTGTATACATAAGGATGAGACATTACTGACTGTAAAAATATAAAATAGCAAAAACATTAGTAGCTGTTTTATAGAAAGGCTGTTTTGTATTTATTTCTTTAAAAAAATAAATAAATAAATTCAAAAAGATTTAATTAAATATTTATTATAAAATTTTTAAAGAATAATTTTAAATTTCTTCTGTAATAATTTGAAAATTAAAAAGTTGTTGAAATGCAGAATTATAATTTCCTTAAAGCTATAATTATATTAAAAGTTTTAGTTTTTAATATAAATTTGACTCACTGTTGCATTAAAACTTGTTACTTAAAATATACTATGAATAATTTCAAAGCCTATTTTATTAAAAACTGAATTTTTTCTAGTTTAAACTCTATTTACTGAATAGGAAAATGGAACAGTTAGGTAGACTATTAACCTTGTGATAATAGTGCACAGGAAGTTTTTCTATGGAACAAAAAAAGACTATATAAACATAGTATCTATTCAGTATTTTCTTTTTTCTGTGAAATTTTCCAATTTAATTGTTGGAAAATTTTCATTAGAACTTTATCAACTTAGCAATTTTTAAACATTTTTTACATTAAAAGTTATTTTTATTTTTTAATCTTTAATTGAATAAATATTACATGAAAACTTAACGGAATTACAGAAATTTTTATTTTTGTAAAAATAAAAATAAGTATTCACAATGTATAAATTTTATTTTGTGAATTAATTATAATTTTTTCACATAAAATAAAGCTCTCTTGAAATCTGTTATTACATTGTTGCAATACTGTTCCTTTCAGTTAATTGTATTGACTAATGGCTATTTTATTATAGGTTAAGAAGCCCCTTACATGAAAGTATAGGAAGTCAGAAGATTATTTTTTGAAATTTGTCAGATTGTCTTGTTGCATTTTGTTATTACTGTAGCATTGTACTATTTCCCAATTAATGCAGTCATCTGAGTTATATTTTTTAGTAATGACTTTTTATCCTGCATAGTAAAAGAATTCTGTTCTAGAAGTTAAAAACATCCTTTTGTAATACTGTTATCTCCTATTCTCCTTAAAATACATTGGTTGTAATTAACTAAAATATTAATTTATTTTATTTACACTAACAGATTTATTATTATTAAAATAATTATAAACTTTTTAAAATATGAATTTGTATGTAAGTGTTATTTTCTCACAAATAAGTTTTATAATATTTAATTAACTTTCTTTAAAATTCATCATTTTCTGTTGAAATTAAGTTAGATAATGTTAAAACCTTTTATATTTTAAGATTTAATATTTTAGAAGATGCATAGAAATAAACAATAATTATATTAAGCTAAAGTGAAATAATAATCACACTTATATTTTATGATACTGTTTTTAAATTTCTTAATTAATACAGCTTAAATACTTTTAAATTATTAATTTAATTCAATTTGTTTAATTCAAATTATTGAAATATGATAATATTCTGTTTTCCCCCCTTCTAAAAGCATGTTTATTTATTAATTTTTATATAGCCCAGAAAAATTGGTAATTTGGTTATATAGTTGACCCCCCTATAACACTGTTGATAATTCCGTTTTATATGAATTCCATGTTATACAAGTCACTTAGATTTTACAAATACGTGAGCCGTTCACAGCCCGGCACACGTATTTGACTATAGCTTGATATTAGAATATTTTAGAATATGTTTCTGAAATGAATTTTTGTAAACAAAATTACAGCCAGTTAAGATAGTAAAAGAGATTTTTCTTTATACAATAATATTGTTTTAAAATTTCCATATAAAGTCAACTTTTAATGTCCAGCAAAGAATTTAAAAATAAATAACTTCTAAGTAAAGGTTACTTCTTATAGTAGCAAGACTAGCGATCTTTATCATGTCTCTTTTAATTATCCATAATAAACAGAGATCAAGATTAAAACAATCCACTTTATTTGCCTAATTTAACTATGCATTTTACTTTTCTGGCTGATATATATAACAGAGGGAAAGTATGGTGATCAGTCAATAAATGAACCCCCAAGATTTTTACACTTTTGGACTTGAGACCTTGAAATGTCAAGAAATGCAAAAAAAAAAAATTCAGGGGTTTTTTCTGTATGTATGGATGTTAGTGTGTTTGTGTGGGGAGCATGATTTTGTTCACTCTCTCTGAAGCTTAATAACCTGTACTTTTTGTTGAAAATTTCTGAAATTTTGCAGAGAGGTTTGTTTATTTTGTTTATTAGGGGGCTTGATGCTGTTAAATTTTGGTGATTAAAAGTCAAGGGGGTCATATGTATCTCCAGCAGGGTCAGACTTAATGACTATTTTACTCATTATTAGCATTTACAAATTTTTATAAAATCCATCCCTACCCTCAAAATTAAGCTTTTTGCAATTTATAATAGTTAAAAATATTAAAAGTTTTTTAAGTAAAATATGATAACAGATGGCACTACCAAATGTTGTCAGGAAAGTTAAGCAACTCATTGCTAGATTTTTTGGATTGGTAATTATTTGATTATACCCATTCATTTTAATAATTTTATTGATATTAAATGGTTTATAAATAACTTCTTATAAATACCTTTAAAGGCCATCATTAGATTATACATTCATCAGGTTATGTATTCAGATTCTAAATTTGAATATGTGATGATGGCTACTCTGAAAGTAGATGAAAATATTTGTTTATTTTCAAATTCATTGCTGGACATTAAATATTTGATAGTATTTGGATTTTTCATCTAGTAATGTGTCATTTGATATAATATTTCCATTATAATTGAATTAATTAAATATTATGGAAACAATAATCACATTTTTTCAAGATACCTTAATTAACATGCATTTTATTTTCTTGTATCTTTAGTTTTTATTAATAGTTCTTAAGTTTTAGCTAATAAAGCTATTTAATATTAAAAATGATCATTTAAGATAATGAATATTATTATTAATTTTATTTAAAAATTTTTTTTTCAGGTTGCTAATTTCAGCTTTCCATAAAAATGCCATCTGCTCATCTAATTTTGAAAGAAGAAGAAGCCATTAGATTAGTACTGGAATTTTTATCAAATAGAGAATTAAGTATTTCACAGTTATCAGTTGAAAGAGAAACTGGTGTTATCAATGGTGTGTATTCAGATGATATGCTATTTCTGAGGCAACTAATACTGGATGGACAGTGGGATGATGTTCTTGGATTCATTCAGCCTTTGGAAGGTATTGATAATTTTGATTCCAAACAGTTTCACTATGTAGTCATCAAACACAAATATATAGAGTTATTATGCATAAGATCGGAAACTGGACCTGTTCAAAGTTTAGACGTTGCAGTAGAAGAAGTTGTAAAATGCTTAAATGATCTTGAAAAGTATTGTCCTACAAAAGAAGATTATAATAATCTTTGTTTATTATTAACTTTGCCTAGATTATCTGATCATTTTGAATACAGAAACTGGAATCCAAGTAATGCCAGAGTGAATTGTTTTAAAGCAGTTCATCCGCTTGTAGAAAAATTTCTTCCATTCGATAAAAAGACAACTGTTAATCAGAAAATCTCTAAGGGTGATCGACTCATACAGTTGATAATTAAAGGCATTTTATATGAATCATGTGTTGAGTATTGCCAGCAGAGAGCGACGTCGTCATCAAATGCTTCCCATGAAATGCAATTTGCACATTTGTTAAATGGCACAGGCTTCAGTGATTCTGACCTAAGTTTGCTATCATGGTTACAATGTATTCCTCCTGAAACATTTTCTTATCCATTTGAACAGAAGACATTGAGTGTAGATGTGGAACAATTAGAAAAACCTTGTCTTGAAGCATCATGGTCTGAACAGATTCTAGTCACTCCAATTAAACCTAAAATTTTTCCGCATTCAGCTACTCCTTTTACAAGATTACGTTCTGCTGATTTTATGTCAAGATCACTAACACCAAATTTAGATGGTCTCAGTCAGAAAGGAAACATGATGGCATTCTCCATGGGTGATTTATCTCTCATGTCTCGTTCATTTGCTGGCTTCCATTTAACAGGCAAAAAGTCTATGATTACATCTGTGGATCGCTTGTTTGAAGCAGGTGATGTATTTAGCACTAGTTACAGTGATTTACAAGCAATTCTTGAAACTCCATCTCCAAAAGATAAAACCACATCACAAAAAATTAGTGATAAACAAAATCTGAATGACGAAGAAAATAAATCTTGTGGAAATAAAGAACTTGGTTCAGGGTTAAAGACACCTTCAAAAATAATAACTGATTCACAAAAATGTGAAAAATCACCAGTTAAAACTGATTCACAAACATCAGTAGATAGTGACACATCAAGTCAACAGAGTGCACTTTTACCTTCTGATACTTCTTCATCAGATTTATGGAAAGAATTCCAACGGCAGAAGCAGCATTTACTAGAAGAATTACAAGCTCAAGAAAAACAAAGGGAACAGTTAATGCGTGAAATTAATTCAGGTGTTTCATCATCATGTGTAAATTTAAATCATAACATTGAAAATAATGTTGTTAATACAAGTATTACACCTACAATGAACCAAGTAAATTATCCACATTCTGAACAACTCACAACAAGTACTCCTAAGCCTGTTGGGAACAAATTTGCAACTCCTCCTCCACAGACTTCACCAGTACTTCCAAGAAATGATGAGATGAAATCTGCTACTCTCAAATATTCAGGACCTGTGTCAAAAAATTTAGGTGTATTGTTAGAAAATCCAGAATTGCAATCGCCACAACCAAATTCTATTCCATATACAAATATTCAAACCAGGTAATTTATAATTACATATATAAAAATAATTATTATTATTTAAAAACTGATACATTTATTTTATATTTTCTGTTAGTTATACTAAGATCATTATTATAGATTATTACAAGAAATCATAAATGAGTTTTGTAATGATTTGTGTAATTGTATCAATAGTTAAGTCAAAGTAATGTATATGTTACATATATTATGTTGTTGTAAATGAATTTTACAACAACCTAATATATTGTATAATGATTTTTACTTCTGACTTTGAACATTTATTAATTTAATTTAAAACTCACATATTCAATCAAAATTGTCTCCACCAACATTAATACACTTTTTTCAATGCAATAGAAATGCATTAATGCCAATTTGATAGAAATCACAAAAATGAGAAGCCAAAAAGTCATTAAAGGTACAGTGGTACCTCAGGTTACGAACGCCCCAGCATACGAAATTTTCAGGATACGACATGAAATTCGAACATATTTTTGCTCCACGATACGAACAAAAACTCACCATACGACGTTACATTAGTTCGCATTTTTCATTTATGTTTGTTACCACAGTTATATTTTTTAATGTATTACTTGGCTTTAATTTGAGTATGTTTTTCGCGTTGGAACGAATTATTTGGTTTTACATGTAATCGTATGGGAAAAGATGATCCACCTTACGACATTTTCATGATACGATCTCAGTTTCGGAACGGATTAATTTCGTATCCTGAGGTACCACTGTACTTTTTATTGCATCCTCATTCTTGAAGACTTTCCTTGCCAAAAAACTGTCCAAATGTAAAAAATAGTGATAGTCTGTTGGCAAAAAGTCTGGAAAATAAGGTGAATTTGGAAGAATTTCATTTGAATACTTTCATTTTTATGATAAATAATTAAAGAGCTGCAGACCTCCAAATGATGCTCCTTATCTCTCTGAGTTCATGTTGTATCCATTTGTCAAACTTCTTGACTTTCCCTAACATGTTTACCATGTTTAGATGTCAAGAAATGGTTGAATAATGTCCAGTATGTTCAACCTTACTGTGATTTCCTGGACAGTCAGGTGATGTTCTGATTTGTTGATGGTTTTCGATTCTGATTTTTGAGATTTGTATTTCCAGAATGAAGTTTTTTAAACTAATGCCTGGTTACTTGCTCACTCACGGAATTTTCACCAAAAGTTTTATTGGTATTTTGGATTGTTTTGGCTGCATTATGTTCCTGCTTATACTTGAAAAAGAAAATTATTCAATTTCCTTTTCTTCCATGTCCTCAGAAAAGTACTCTTAAGCATGTGGAACTCACAATATAAATGAGATTACATTTTTAAATTCGCATATTATATGTGTGCTCTTCCAATTGCAAACATACAGCACTGTTCACATGGATAATGGTTGAACTACAAGACCTGAAAGTTTAAATTTTAAAAAATGACTATTTCATTTTCAATGACCCAATGTTATATATCTTGAATCAATCATTAACTTTTCAGATGTATATATTTAGTCAGTGAATAGTATGATTTTTTGAATATTATAAAAAAGTTTAATAACACTTACCTAAAAATGTTTAAATAAACTTTACTAAATACAAAGATTAAAGTATAAAAACAAAACACAGTGACAGTCTTAAAAGCTAAAATCAGAAAGCAATGACAACAACACCTGGTTGATAAGAAAGCTGGGACAAAGAAAAAAAAAAATTACAGTATTAGTTTTTATTAAGGTAAATCTGATGAAAAGCACAAAACAAATTGAAAATTTCAATATTCTAAAATCTTAGGCAAATTTGAGAAAACACACATTCTTACTTGAATAAAAACAAATATTGAATAATTGAGTTTTCGCTTAAAAATTGTGAAAATTTGTATGGAGAATTTCCCAAATTCTTGAACTATGTTAGAGCGAAACCGTATGGTATGGGGGATATCTATACAATGAGAGCAAAATTGTGTTGTAGAAATGCTGTATTGTATGAAGGATACCTGTACTTGCTTCTGTGGTAACATAATTTTAACTTACCCGATTTTATCAATTTTTGAATTTGGAATGCATCACCTAGTAAAATTGATATATATATATATAACTTCTAGTGGAAAAGTCATTTAACACACATGATTGAGTGAATTTTGTTAATGCTTTAAGTTTGTAATAGTTCAGAGTTTCTGTTTATTTAAATTAAAGAAATTAATTACTTCCAGGGCTATGAATCAGTTATAAATTAAATAAAGTACACTACAAAATGCAATATACTGTGTTAAGATTTGTCAAATGAAAAAATATTCACTTTTGCTCATCATTTAAGTTTTTATTATAAAAAAAGGTACTTTTTGTTAAAGAAAAATGACAAAAACTAAAGTAGCACATTTTTCACTGGTGGAATGTATACTTCTACTCTAACTGCAATCAAATTAAAAACGTTCTTAGAACAGTCCATTAAATTTAATAGTTTACTTAAACTGCAAATATATATATAAACACATGATAATAACATCACAAGACATAACTGAATTAATTTGTAAATTATTTAACCAAAACAATGAGATGGGAATTCTTTAATAAACCTATATATTGAAAATTAGATGCATAAAAAATGAAACCCATCAGTTTTAAATTAGGCTATTGTAATTTTTTGAATGTACGAGACTTTAAAAATAATTATGAATTTAATGAAATTGTTCTAAAAAAAATTTGATTTCAAATTCGGTTACAGTAGAAATGTGCATTCCACCAATAAAAAGCAGTTTAGACATGGGACATATTATTAGATTTTTGAAAAATAAATGTTAAAGCCAAACAATTGCTGAATTATATCCAACTATATTACTTCTACTAGTAGTAATAATAGTAGTAATGTAGCCAATATATGAAGACTATATAGTATATATGGACTTGTAATGAAGACTATATAGTATGTATATAGTCAGTAATTGTTCAGATTTAATATATAACTATAGAGTTTGGATATTTATATTTTAAAAATAATGTTTTTCAAATGCTGGTTTTTCAATTGTTTGACAAAGAAAATTTTTAAAAATTATATCCATTATTTATATTTAATTAGCAGATAAGCCAGGCTCTACCTGGATGAAAAGTAATAAGGAAAAACATTAAAATGAAAACCATATTAAAAGTTTGGTTATTTTAGCTTACCATTGTTACATTTATCATGAAATTCTAAGTGGAATACAAATTTAGGAGTGTAAATGGGTGGAAGTGTGATGATAAAGACAGATCAATTTGATAAATTTACTATCATATTAAAATGAATGATTTTTGAATATTTATGTATCCTGTTAAAGAAAATTATTTTATTTCAGTCATTCCCCTGTTAATGCATATGGAACCAATATAAATTCTGTTCCACCAACTCTCACAGGTCCTGGAATGACAAATACTTCACGGATAATCCAGAATGTTCCACCAACTGCATATAATGCATCACCTGTTCAAACTACTATTGGAGGTACAAGGGTGAGCATAATTTCTAACAATTATCATCAGATTTTAATACAATGAGAAATATTTTTTTGTGTTGTGTGTGAATTTTTATGGTTTTTCTTATCATTTATTTTCTATGGCTTTATTCATTGATTTTTATCATTGTTGACTGTTTATTGTCTAGTATTCTAATATTACTTTTATAATTTTTTATTTTTGCTATTAACTTTCTGAATTGGAGAATATTAANACTAATTATATACCATTCAAAATAGAAAAATCAAAAAGTCTAATTTGCATGAAAAATTCTGAAAAATAGATGATTACTAAATTTTATGTCCAGTAATTATATTATTGAACATATAATATTAAACTACTTGAAATGTTTATTAACTTACAAACTATGAATTCCTTACTTTATAGAAGCCTTTTTATTCTAATATTACTTTTATAATTTTTTATTTTTGCTATTAACTTTCTGAATTGGAGAATATTAAACTACTTGAAATGTTTATTAACTTACAAACTATGAATTCCTTACTTTATAGAAGCCTTTTATGAAAAATATTTCTATAAAGTAATAAGTTTGTTGTTTATAACATCTATATACATACAAAAGTCAAAATATGTATGTATGTATGTAAAGGATTCTATACCACTCAGTGTATCTGCACCAAATTTGGCTTATAGAATTATTAGAAAATGAAATATTAAATGTTAGAAAAGAATCCATACCAACATATATTTTATGTATATGAAACTAACTGCATGTGCCCAATGTTGCTTGGTCTTTTGAGGGTTTGGTGAGGATGGGTAGGAGATTGTGATAAAAACAATGGTCATAAAACAGTAATAAAAACTAAAATGTTCATTTATTAACCTGAGTATTTACAATAACAAAACTGCAAAACACAAAAACTTTGCACAAGTTTAAGTTAATAGGAATGGGGACACCCATAGTATTTTTTATAGTATGCTAAAAGGTATTTATGCCAAATTTGGTGCAGATACATTGAATGGTGTAGAATCCTTTACTATACATACATATTTTGACTTCTGTATTTATATAGGTAGTATAAACTACAAACTTATTACAAAAAAATTAATAATTTAAAACGATGGAGTCAGATTATTTTATCAAATTCTTATGTAATTGTATTGTAAAAACTTATTACTTTATAGAAATATTTTTCATAAAAGGCTTCTATAAAGTAAGGAATTCATAGTATGTAAGTTATTAATGATAAACATTTCAAGTAGTTTAATATTATATGTTCAATAATATAATTACTGGACATAAAATTTAGTAATCATCTATTTTTCAGAATTTTTCATGCAAATTAGACTTTTTGATTTTTCTATTTTGAATGGTATATAATTAGTAGAAACAAAAAAAATGAATATTTTAAGGACTCACACAAAAATTAGTTTATTTTAGAATAATTATCTTTTTTATTCTGTATAAATATATTTAAAAATTGCCATCATCGGTTAGTAAATTAAAAAAAAATATATAAAGATATTGCTTTTTGTTCTTGGTATAATTAAATTAATTAAAAATCTAATAATTTGAGGTAGATAATAAAGACTTATCACACCAGTTATAATAAGCACAAACACCCAGGTATCAATGGAATACATTTAATAAAAACAAGATGTATTGTATTCTAAATGTATTCCATTGATACCTGGGTGTTTGTGCTATTATAACTGGTGTGATAAGTCCTTATTATCTACCTCAAATTAGTAGATTTTTAATTAATTTTAAAAAAAATATATGCTTAAGAGTTTAATATTACATTATTAATAGGGTAAACGGTATAGTTATTTGGTACTTAAGAAAGTGTTTATTTTAAAAATTGTTTGATGTAACAAAAATATTAAGTAGGAAATATTATACTTATTGATGAATTCATTTTTTGCATTTTTTTTCTATTACCAACATATAGAAATTACAAATGTCACTCGTTTAACTCTTTAAGCTCTGAAAATTTTTTTTTTTTATGTATTTGGAGACAAAATTTTACTTCTCAGGTTATGAGGGGAATTTGTATAATAAAATTAGTTAAACATCTTTCCGTTAGGCCAATATTGTCATGAACAGTCTAAAACAATTTGGCTGATCTCATGTTTAAAGATTTAATCCAAAATTTGTCTTATTTTACAAAAATGCAAAGTTGCGTAATTACAGCCCACACCCAACAACAGAAAAACCTGGGGGTTTTTCTAGCTACTGACAGCAGAAACTTGTATTAATACTACCAAGCAATATTTCTAGAATAGCTTTTGTAGAACAAACCTTTTATCAAACAGGTTAAAATTTGAAATGGCTAATTATTGTCTGGTGGCCAATAACTTTATCATTTAAACTTAATAACTTTAAAATTATTCCTATTTAAATAATACAAACTTTAATGTTTAACAAACTGAAAAGAGATAAATCTAATTAGCCAAGAACTAATTACAGTAGAGCATAGATTATCTGAATGCCGATCAACTGAAACATCGGTTAACCGAAAGCATTCCAGTCGGACTGTGTCATGCTGAATCGAAAGTTTTCGATACTAGATTAACTTCTAAAGTATAATGGTTTTGTTTTTATATTTTTCAATATATTTATTTTGTTTGTACAAAATAAAGAAATCGTTTTTAACAATACAATAGCCACGATTATTATTATAAAAATTTTCGTTAGGCTTAACATCAACGAAAATTCATTGGGAAGCGATATGCAATGGAGAAAAATTTAAACTTGGGATATATTAATATACTGTTATTGGGATATACTAATATACTATATTAATAATGTATTTTTTTGTACATAATCGGTTTTCCGAACAACCCAGTCCCCAATTGACTCAGATAATCGACACTCTACTGTCCTCTTAAATTTCAAACATTAGTCAAACAAATATTTTTCTTTAGAAAATATTAAACAATTTTTGAAAATTTAAATTATAATTTATATATTTAACTCTTTTATGTTAAACAGTTTTAATAAAGGCAAGGTCTTAATGAATTTGTATTGAAAAAAGTTGAAGGTAAAGATATCTAAACATTGGGCAGGTTTAGTTTACAAAATAGACTTAGGAGAGTGCTTAAATATTTAAGAAACATTATATTTAATTTTATTGGAAGAAAAAGGAATAAATAAAAAGACAAAATTTAGACCTGTGGACTTGATGATTAATATAAAAAATTAAATTCTAATTATTAAAGTTTCTAAAAGGTAATATTTCTAATATCTATAAATCAAATTTACTATATAAGTATAACAAAGTACACAAAACCCAGTATGTATAAAGAAACATCCAACGATCGCCTAAATGATCGGGCTACAATTCCACTAATTTGTATTAATTATTTAAAATTAGCACAGTTGTAACCCGATCATTTAGTTGATTGTTGGATGTTTCTTTACTTGTGATTACTTATATTGATAGTAAAAAGTTAATGAAGAAAGAAACCTGTAGTAGTTTTGATAATTTATTTGATTTATAGTTCTGAATATTGAAATATGAATATTTGATTTATAGTTCTGATTTATAGTTCTGAATATAATTGAAAGTTGGGAGGATTTCAAACACAACATCAAAATGCACACAAAATGTATGCAAGATTGACAAATTCTGAATATATTTCTTTGATATTACTTTCAATGATTAAAGTTTTAATTCAGTAAATATTAAACAGAAAACCTATTTTAAAAAGTTTGTTTATAAAAACTCAATCAATATTTATTTCTACATAACATTAATGTTGAATGTAGTAACTTTAAAAGTTATAATTTAGAATTTATATAAAAAAAGATAGTTTGATTCTGATTTTCTGAGCAAATCATTCAAAATAGTAAATAACATTAAAAATATATATACAGTAATACTGCAAGAATGCATACATCAAGACTTCAACAGATAAAACAGTAAACTGTTTTTTGGTGTTATTTTAATGATTAATAGTAGGTCAGATAATTATATATTAATGACTTGAGGACTGAATTTATTATTTTTTTATTATAGATTTATTTGATTCAATAGCAATAAATATGTGTCTATTAAAAACTGTTTAATTGAACTATTTAAATTTTGTTGAATATAAATGTTATATCACATATGTTTTAGATATTTAATTAAAGATTATAACTGCATCTCTTTGTAATTGATTCTTTTATACTTTAGCAATCTCCTATTGCACAGTTACCTCCTCCAGATGATAAGAGACCACATTTTCTCCCCGTTACAAGATTAGAAGATGCACAAGCAATAAGAACTGGAGAATTTCATCCTAGTGGAAGATTTTATGCTATTGGATCTAATTCAAAAACATTACGTATCTGTTCTTATCCTAAATTGAATGATTTAAGGTATATAAACTTAACCTTATTTAATAATAAGATTATGTTTATATATATATATGAAAACTATTTTAATTTTTTGTGTTTTTAAATTAATTAATTAAATTGCCAGACTAACTTTTAAGCTAGAACTTGACTAATTAATACAGGATCTTTTAAAAAGAATGCTACCATTTTACATGATTGTAATTATGTTAATTATTATCTCAGAATTTTGTAATGTACATTAAAATATTGGAAAAGTGTCCAAGTTTCACATTTGCCCATTGTAATTTCTTGATGTGTGCACCTCATGTCACACAGCATACATCTAACTGATACTCAAATTTTTTCCACAGTCACTGAAGCATATCCATTGTCACTCCTCCCACTTCTCCTGCAGATTACTCTGTTGCACAATGATTAGTGATTCCAACTTTGAAAACTGCAAAACACAAAACACCTTCTCTTTTGTGGAGTCACTATTTTCATTTACACTCTTCCTAGATATAGGTGGGAAATGATATTCAGACAGTTACTTGATTGATTGTGTACATCACATATTTCTTAGATATAATAATTAACATATAGTAATTTAAAATGGTAGCATCAATTTTGAAAGACCCTGTATAATAAATACAGTGTAATTTGGTTTCAGACTTAGTTGTGTATATGTATTTGGTGTTTTCTTATCTAACACGTAACTGCAAGTATTGATTTGGCAGTATGGTTCTTTTATGATAAATTTATTTATATATTATTTCTTATAATATTTTACACTTCTCTACATGATTTTGAATTACCTTGTAACTTTGAAACAGTTTGAGAATATTTATTAAAATTATTTTAATCACTGTACAAAAATAGCATATTATTGTTAGTTGTAAAGCATGCTTTTAAGATATTTTCTCTTAATACAGTTGCACCCCATTTATACGTTTTTCAATATTGTATAAGTGAGAAAAGTGTACAACTGAAACTACTTTGAATTGCTTTCAGAATGAATGTAAACAACAAAAAATATGGTGCAACACAAATTAACACTGTACAACTGAATTTGTGTATGTAATTCTTAACAAAGTTTCAAATTATTGGTATGTAGAATACATTTGAACAACATATAAAATGAAAAGTAAATCCAGTCTAAAATTAAGTCATATACTTTCAAAAACTGATCAAGTTTTACTTGTTTTTTGATGGACCTGTCACATACTGTATCAGTATATAAAATCATTTGTCACCTTCCTCTGAAACTTGTCAGGTGAAAGAATAGTCATTCTAAAAGTTAGCTCCCACCTGACAGCAAGTAATGAAAATGAATGAAAAACTGAAAAGCAGTTTTTATTCATTTAGTGTGAAATTCATTTACACTACTAAATGCAGAAAGAGAACATTTTCAGCATAGTGAATTGTGGAGTAATTTGCTAAATGCTGGGGTCACCCTGGCTTTTTATAGCAATCACCAATCCATTTGCCAAACATTTTTATTCATTAATATAGAAAGTTATTTGACAGATTACTTTTTTGCTTACTGTGACTTTTGTATCAACCAGAATTGAAAGGATGATCCACACTATTAAAAAAGCAGAATTTTTATGACTATATTTCTTGATAACTTTTCAGATGTGCTAGTCACATTATAGAACAAATTTTACTCTTAATAAACAAGAATAAAGTCCATATAGTATGATATATTTACGTGGTATATATCAAATACTTTTTTGTCAAAACTGAATTCTTCATGGCTGCTCAGCCCATGTTTTGAAAGCCTTCTCAAAGTTAATCTTTTTTTGTGGACTGCTCTGCAGCTATTTGCCACTCCAATCATCAGATGATGGAAGTAATTGCCAGATAAATAAAATTTTCATAAATTATGAATTTTGCAACAGGCAGTGTGACTCCTGCTAAATTGGAAAACTACATAAACTTGTTGGAAACTGCATAAAATTTTCTTTGCTTATTATATTTGCTGGCATATGAAAAAGTCAAAGAATTAATCTGCCAAATAATCTTTAGCTGAATATTCTCCCTTGTCAGTATAGACCAACTTTAAGTGAATAGTTTTCTTTTTCACTTTTTAATAATGACTTGAAGGTTTTAAATTTTAAAGTAAATAATGCATAAGTAAGAAAAAGTACTGTTGCATACCAAAAGATACAATGTATAAGTGCAAAATTATATAAATGAAAAACATAACTGAAATGATTTATAATAGAGAAAGTACAGTTCAGAAAATTTTTAATGTATAATTGTTAAAAATATACAACTGAAAAATGTATAAATTGGATTAAACTATATGATTTATGATTAATAAAAATTGAAAGTTTTTGATATTTTTATATTTACAATTTATTTAAAATTTCAATATTTTCAGAGATGAACATATTGCTCATCAACCTACAGTTTTGTTTAAAAGATTAAAACATCATAAAGGTTCAATATATTGTTTAACGTGGAACAACAATGGAAATCTTCTTGCAACAGGATCAAATGATAAAACTGTAAAATTAATGAGATTTAATAGTGAAACCAGCAATATTGAAGGTAATTTAATATTTGTTAAAAACAATTTTAAATATCAATTTGATCATTTTGTTTTCTTGTTTAATATTGTATTTATCAGATTAATAAAATTCATGATATCAGTTTATTGAAGCTTTTCAAAATTTAAAAATTATAAATATATTTTAAAAACAATTTTGAAGGCTATAAAATACTATATCTTCATAATTCTTAATCTTATTTTAACTAGATATTTTGTATAATTTAAAAAATATATATATCTTTTGAAAACATTATTAATTCAGAATTTCAGTTTAAGAGGAAAACACATTTAAATGTAAAAATTACAATTTTATAATTTCTAATGTTTAAATTAAATTAGAAATGTTTTACTGAGTTTTATTATCATTAGTTAAGGACAAAGATAAAAAAATTTAATGCATTATTTCATTGTTTATGTATATCATGTAGAATGCTCATGTTGAATATGAGCTTGTAAAATTGTCTTCCTGAGTAATAATCAATTTTATTTTGTCATTAGTTACTGCTTGATTACATAAACAATGCTAACAAACTATTATGTATTATTATCAAATAAATTGTATTTGGTAATGACTGACAAATATTTTGGAATTGAACATATAGAATTAAAAATGCTAATTCTATTAATTAAAGCCAACCAATCTGCCTTATTATTGGGCTGTAATAAGACTAAAATTACTGTTATTACAGTCGATAATATGGAAGATTGTTTGACTTTAATTAAAAATTTGGTTTGTGGATTTATTGTTTATAATTAGATATTTTTACAACTCCTTGTTTTAAATTAATCAAAAGTAGTCAACTTACATTTTAAGAAGTCATTAAAGTAAATTTAATGTAAACATTCTTGAGATGAACTTGACTTCATCTTTAATTAAGTCATTCTCTTGAAAATTAAAAATTTCTGCTCACTTATCTAAAGTAAATGTAAAATTTGCAGTTTATTTTTTACTGTCTTTCCAGAATTAATTAATACTGATTAATTTTAAATAGAATTTTATATCAGAATTTAAAGAAAATTCACCTCTTTCTCTTACTTTCCAGTACTAACTGTTTAATAAACAAACGTTTTTGGCCACATTTAGGGACTTGCATCAGGTTAAGCTGATACAAAATTGAACCTGCTATATACATTCAATTTCACATCAACTTAACCTGACATAGGCTCCTGAATGTGACCAAAAACGTTTGTTTATTAGATAATTAGTGCTGCAAAGTGTGAGAAAAGCATGAATTTTATTTCAATGATATTCATGTTATATTTTAATTTTATATTTTAAGAAAACATTTTTTAAATTACTTACGTATTTAGTTATTTTAAAATAATTATATTTATAATAATAGGTAATGATGCAGAATTAACTATGCATGATGGTACAGTTAGAGATATGTGCTTTGTTGAAGATGCCAGTAATAGATCAAGTCTTTTAATTAGTGGAGGGGCTGGTGATTGTAAAATTTATGTCACTGATTGTGAAACTGCTACTCCATTTCAAGCACTGTCTGGACATTCAGGTAAATATTCAAATTTTAAAAATTCTGAAAATTATTTCTGTTTCTGACTTTTCTTTTTTTTCTTTTTTTTTTTTTCTTTTTTTTTGTATCATGCTTTTAAGATATTTTCTCTTAATACAGTTGCACCCCATTTATACGTTTTTCAATATTGTATAAGTGAGAAAAGTGTACAACTGAAACTACTTTGAATTGCTTTCAGAATGAATGTAAACAACAAAAAATATGGTGCAACACAAATTAACACTGTACAACTGAATTTGTGTATGTAATTCTTAACAAAGTTTCAAATTATTGGTATGTAGAATACATTTGAACAACATATAAAATGAAAAGTAAATCCAGTCTAAAATTAAGTCATATACTTTCAAAAACTGATCAAGTTTTACTTGTTTTTTGATGGACCTGTCACATACTGTATCAGTATATAAAATCATTTGTCACCTTCCTCTGAAACTTGTCAGGTGAAAGAATAGTCATTCTAAAAGTTAGCTCCCACCTGACAGCAAGTAATGAAAATGAATGAAAAACTGAAAAGCAGTTTTTATTCATTTAGTGTGAAATTCATTTACACTACTAAATGCAGAAAGAGAACATTTTCAGCATAGTGAATTGTGGAGTAATTTGCTAAATGCTGGGGTCACCCTGGCTTTTTATAGCAATCACCAATCCATTTGCCAAACATTTTTATTCATTAATATAGAAAGTTATTTGACAGATTACTTTTTTGCTTACTGTGACTTTTGTATCAACCAGAATTGAAAGGATGATCCACACTATTAAAAAAGCAGAATTTTTATGACTATATTTCTTGATAACTTTTCAGATGTGCTAGTCACATTATAGAACAAATTTTACTCTTAATAAACAAGAATAAAGTCCNAACAGACTAATTTGGATGAAGAGGATATCCATTAAAGCCAAAAATCCATTATATAATAAAGTAGATTTTCCGAATGCAAGTGTTAAAAAATTGACAAATCGTTAGTTTATCTGTTTTACTTGTGTACATATGTTTGTGTAATTAAAATTAAGTATGTACAAATGAGAAGTTTAATTTCACAGGAATGTTTTCTATCAGTTTAGAGGAACAACATTCTTGTAATAACAATTATTATGACATAACAGACATTGAAATAATGCTGATTATTAATTACATTTTTCTTTATTTTGAAAGTAGGCTTTTAAAAATCATAATACATTTATGCTCTTGTCATCTAATCTAGATCTAATTTTCATACAAATGGTAGCTGCATTAGAGAAAGCTATCTCAGAGTCAATACTAGTTGGATTACTGTCATTAGAGCATTGACAACCTTTTTATGATACGTTCCTTGTATTTTTTGCTTTACAGAATAATTCATTTCTTTCTTAACTATATCTTTCACACTTAAATTTACTTATATTACTGTTATCAGTGTCTATGCTTGTTTTATATTTAATTGAATAAGTTCAATTTCTCTTTTATTGTTAAATTTGACTTTTCTATTGTGCACTTTGTTCTTGTCTCCACATCAGAAGATGATGGTGGTGTAAGCAAATGAACACCTCTCACCAGAATCTGAGTTTGAACTAATTTCAGTGACATTCCCAGGTCTTGATTCATATTCATTTTCTGATAAGTGATTGATTATCTCCTATATTCCCATTCAAAATTATATTTTTGTTAACATAATATTGGATATTTCATGTGACATCTATTTGTTGAATTTCTCTGGGTTATGTAGATACTTTAAAATATCAGAATAAATAGTTTGTCTCTCTTTCACATGAAAAATAATTTTTTTTTTAGTTTGTTACACAGAAAGAATCCCATTTTGATACTTCTGTCAGAAATTCTAATGTTAGATCTGCAATGTACAAATTTGTGTTTTTGCAACAAGTGGTTTGACTGCTACTTTTATAGGTTGTAATAACTGCATTGTATTAGACAGCAATTCAAGTTCATTTTCAGAAAAAGTTATATCTAAACAATATCAATTAGACTTTTTCTGACAGAATTTCGGACTTATGAAAAACATTCCAGTACGGTCGACATACTGTTTCAACGTGTTTTTGAGTCTAATAGTAGAGATAATTCTTTTCCTAATTTATCTATAATATGCTTCTGAAGAATGCTATTTTTGAGTGGTGATTTTCAAAATGTTTTGACTACATTTCATATTTTCTTAATTAAAAAATTCAGTTTCATCTTGGAAAACATCCCTGTGAAACATAGTGTCGTCAGGACTTTCCTGTATCACTTCAAATTCTCCATCATCAGATTCATTGTCTGATATTTCAGAATCTTCATCATCCAGTTCCGAGTGTATGGGTTCAGTACTGTTTTCTTTAACATGGCCTTTTTTCTAAAAAATTTTGTTACTGCTAAGTGCACATTTGGCTGTTTACATTGACTAATCTTGACACTTTTTTCATCACTGCAGCTCCATCCGTGACAATTGAAATTGGCTACTCATCTTTACCACAACACCAGAGAATAGTAATATAATTACCTCTTTCTAACCTGTTACCGGTGTGTCTACTAACTCTTAACGATCCAAAACGAACCAAAACTAACGTTTTCGAACCCTTAAACGGTTCTTCTTCAGGTTTTTTTTTCAGGTTTTTTTCGAATCTCTGATGGAAAATGCAGCTCGTATTTTCCATCAGAGATTCGAAAAAAACCTGAAGAAGAACCGTTTAAGGGTTCGAAAACGTTAGTTTTGGTTCGTTTTGGATCGTTAAGAGTTAGTAGACACACCGGTAACAGGTTAGAAAGAGGTAATTATATTAATTGAAATTGGGTTGTTATAATCGACATTGAATTCTTTTAATCTGATATTTAAAAGTTCAATGCACTTTTCATCGCACATAGATCCATGTGTGCGAATCAAATCTAAATTCCAAAAGTTGTTACTTGCATGGAGATTAACATTTATATATCAACAGTTGTTAGGTGATGTCCATTTGTCACAAGATATACTGAAGGATTCTCCTCAAACTTTTCTCTCTGCTATATCTTTGATCATCTTTTTAATTGAATGGGGAGATTTAGGAAGATTTGCATATTTGCTTGCAAAGAAAAGTCAACTTGGGTCTTTCAATGTGCAAAATTTGGAGAATGGCAGTCTGTCAACTGAAGCCATACGAGGTATACTGCAGGTAAAGACTTGTCATTTTCTTTCTTGAAAAACATAGTTATTTTTTTATTAGATTCACTTTGTGCACTGTTTCTGGCTGTCTCTTCAGATTTTCTTTTCAATATGTTTATATCATGACGTCATATGAGGTGATTATGCAGTCCACTAGTACTTCCTCCAACTGCTTTGATTGTTTTAAGCAATTTGCACACTCCAGCATCTCTTTCTCTTGTGCACTTGAAGTATTCCCATGGCAAATTTTTACTCATTACTACAATAAACATAAATCATACTGTATTAGGGAAAATGGTATTTTCTATTTTTATATATTTTTTTATCTATAACTATCTTTATAATTTTATTAATGCATTCTTTTGTTTTTGTTTTAATTAATCTCTCAATAAAGATTCCGATATCTGAATTTCATGAAATATGATTCCAGCATCAATAAAGTGCACTCTAATGAACCAAAAACACACAAAGTTAAAAACAAGCTTCTAGAGTCTTGCACTTAATCCAGTTTAATTATGATTATCATTCCATTATGAAAACATTGATAATGTTTGTAAAGAAACTGAAAAGAATATTACTCACTATGTAAGTCATGTTTTCAGTCAGCATGTATTTATGATCTATTTTAAATCAAGAATTGCAAGAAGTTTCCTTTTGCATCTCAGCTATCTTGAAAGCAAAAACAAGATCAGTTTTTGGAGTATAATACAGGGAATCAAGTTATAAACAGACTAGAAAATCCCTTTTAGTAACCTTAAATTACAAATGGAATGACCCATCACCACCTGTACTGTTTTTTAGTATGGTATGGGGTGAGAAAAAAGGGAAATCTTCCCACAGGTATTTCCCATAGGAATTTTAGGAAAATTAATATCAGGTTAATTAAGAGGTCTTTTACCGAAATACCAGTGAAAAAATTAATATAATTTTCTTAATTAATTTTAATTAAGGGTATAATTTTTCTAATTTACTAGTAAACTAGTTACTGGTAATGCAATCACTATAGCTTATGTATTTGCCACAGTTCTGAGACTGTAGTAAAGAAGTACAGTAGATCCCCCTATAAGACGGTAGATACGTTCCGTTCTTTATGAATCAATTTTGTAGGAATCATAGTTTACGGACTACGGCTGTTTGAAAGGTTTTCTTTCATAAAATTAATCGATTCTAGACTAATTCGACTCAACATTTCCAAAATACGTATATTTTTTTGAAAATAATCCGTATAAACTACGTTATAAACAAAAAATTGTAGGATTGCTTACCGAGTGTGTACCGTTCGACTACGCCCGTTGCTAAAGCTTGGTTTCGTCGCGGAACAGCGCATCAAACCGCGGCCGCGATTTCTGATATTATTTTTCTGCGAAAACTTCGTTGACCTTTGGAGACATCCTTAATATAAATAATTTTTATGGCCGTTAAATAAGAAATGTTTCTTTCACAAGAAATGTATAAAATTACAGTACTGGACAGACGATAGGTCGCCTAACTCGCCGTAGCGTGACGCTAGACGGCGAAAAATATATATTTAATTATAATAAAGTTACAATAAATTAAGTTAATATATAATTATATATACAGTACCTAATTTATATATAATTAATATATAATTATATGTACAGTACCTAATTTATATATAATTATATGAACAGACGATACTAAACTCAATTTATCCGCCTAAACGTCCGTAGCGTGGCGCTACGGACGGCGGGAAAGTAGTTCGGCTGCCCGATGACGTTTTACGTATTATAGGAGTTATTTTTACCGTTGTTTACGGATACTGCCACAATTTTTATAGGAATCATAACTATAGGAAACGGTTTTATAGGGGGATCTACTGTATATGATCTAAATTGAAATAAATAAATAAAAATTTTTGGAAAATACATTTATTAAATACATATTGCTGTAAGATACGTCTACCAAAGTGTGTTTTTGGATTACAGAGACGAATTTACAATTGTAATATAATTAAATACATTAAATTTAATTGTATTTAAGCAAATAAAAAATAAATGATGTTCTTAAAAAGAAAATAAATTTTAAATTAAAAAAAAAACACAGAAATAATTTCTTATTTATTTGTCTTTGGATGATGATATATCAAGACACTCCCATTGTGATGTGAAGTTAACAGCAGTGACTATTTATAATTTATTTTGTATACTAGTACTTTCTATATATTAACAAGACTTATTATACTGGAAAATTATGGATTCAGATATCTAGTCTTACAGTTCAAAAATAATGTTCTTTATTTAGTTCACCTGAACACATACATTTCAAACGTGTGTTTCGGACTTTTTCATCCCAGACTTTTTCAAAAATCATTTTAAAACTAGATATCTGAATCCATAATTTTCCAGTATAATAAGTCCTGTTAATGTATAGAAAGTACTAGTATACAAAATAAATTATAAATAGTTAAAAAGGACAAAAAGGCATAATAATTAACAGCAGTGACTCTTGGATTTGATAAAAATAACCTGTTAATTTAATTACATATAGAAAGCATTTTAAAATTACCATGGTGCTAATTTTCATATATGACATACAGACTGGAAATTTTGCCTATTAAATCTGAAGTCTACTAAGTTGAGATTTTACTGTATTACTATATATAAACAAAAATGAATATTGTGCATAGAAATCAAAAACTATCATTAATTGATTGTTAAAGAAACAGTTTTGCCTTGTTTTCAATCTTTTAATTTGTCAGAACTAAGTGAATCTTGGCTCTATAAATTTGAACACTACTACTACATTTTTAGTATATATTTATTAGCATTATATATATATACTCCAGCATCTCTTTCTCTTGTGCACTTGAAGTATTCCCATGGCAAATTTTTACTCATTACTACAATAAACATAAATCATACTGTATTAGGGAAAATGGTATTTTCTATTTTTATATATTTTTTTATCTATAACTATCTTTATAATTTTATTAATGCATTCTTTTGTTTTTGTTTTAATTAATCTCTCAATAAAGATTCCGATATCTGAATTTCATGAAATATGATTCCAGCATCAATAAAGTGCACTCTAATGAACCAAAAACACACAAAGTTAAAAACAAGCTTCTAGAGTCTTGCACTTAATCCAGTTTAATTATGATTATCATTCCATTATGAAAACATTGATAATGTTTGTAAAGAAACTGAAAAGAATATTACTCACTATGTAAGTCATGTTTTCAGTCAGCATGTATTTATGATCTATTTTAAATCAAGAATTGCAAGAAGTTTCCTTTTGCATCTCAGCTATCTTGAAAGCAAAAACAAGATCAGTTTTTGGAGTATAATACAGGGAATCAAGTTATAAACAGACTAGAAAATCCCTTTTAGTAACCTTAAATTACAAATGGAATGACCCATCACCACCTGTACTGTTTTTTAGTATGGTATGGGGTGAGAAAAAAGGGAAATCTTCCCACAGGTATTTCCCATAGGAATTTTAGGAAAATTAATATCAGGTTAATTAAGAGGTCTTTTACCGAAATACCAGTGAAAAAATTAATATAATTTTCTTAATTAATTTTAATTAAGGGTATAATTTTTCTAATTTACTAGTAAACTAGTTACTGGTAATGCAATCACTATAGCTTATGTATTTGCCACAGTTCTGAGACTGTAGTAAAGAAGTACAGTAGATCCCCCTATAAGACGGTAGATACGTTCCGTTCTTTATGAATCAATTTTGTAGGAATCATAGTTTACGGACTACGGCTGTTTGAAAGGTTTTCTTTCATAAAATTAATCGATTCTAGACTAATTCGACTCAACATTTCCAAAATACGTATATTTTTTTG